GAAATATTTGATTCAAACATTTTAACAAACTGTTGGCGGGCAAAAATCATATGCATTAGTTAAAATACAAGACATTTGGTTTCCAATTGCTTAAAGGGTCAAACTACAAAACATAGAATCATTTGATTCACCATTAGAAAAGATTTTGAAGCAACCACCTTACCTAACTCGAGGACAACCTACAATAAGAAAGAGAAGCTTACAAAACAAAAGAAATAAAGAATGGAAAAAAGATGCTCACGTAATAAGATAGACTGGATTTTAGTTCATCATAAACTTGTCATAAAGATAATAATCTATGATTTACTCACTCCTAATCAGTAATTAGTGAACTTAAGCATATGTTTAGTCAGCGTAGTTCTCAAAAACATACTCCAAAGTTGGGTCTTTTCTGTAATAAATAGTACAAAAAAAAAGGACGAAAAGAATTAGAAAACTCATAGATATTGAGACTCTTGTTTACAACTACATGATGATACCTTAAAATTTCCATGAACTTTTCTCATAAAACAAAAAATTTGTAACATCCAGACTCTCAGGTATTATATTTATTTATTTTTGGGATTTCATGAGTGACTCGACGAGTTGTGTGTCCAACTCGTCGAGTAGAGTTTGATTTGGTCACGTGGGTTTAATGATCAACTCGACGAGTCAGAGAGCTGACTCGCCGAGTTGACGCTGTGTGAGCAAACCCTAAATTCTCGGGTTTGTGGCCTATTTAAAGGAACTTATTTCCTTATTTCCGCCTTACCAGCAACCCAACTCCCCTGTGTGAAACCCTAATCGTCTATTTGAGCTAAGATAGAGTGAGAGATCTAATATTTGAGTGTTTTGGTGAATCATTGGAAGAAGAAGAAGTGAGGTTCAAAAAAGGAATGAGGAAAGGCTGTGAGATCCAATATTCATTTCTTGGAGCTTCAATTGGAAGGTAAAATTCATCACCTTGCTCATCATGTTGTTTAGATCTTGTTAATGAGGAACTTTTGGGGCTTTTTCCATATTTCCTTGAGATTTGGTATGACTTGTGCTTGCCAAGCATTGAGACATCAGATCTGGACCTTGTGAGGTCCATAGAGTCCAAATGTCCCATCTTTATCCAACCATGAAAGTGTTATTATGCTTAAACACCTTAATTAGTGCTTGTATTGGCATTATCGAGCAAATATGCCATGCATGAACGTAAAGATTGAAGCTTTACATGACATTCGACCCTTGGGAGGCTAGATCTGGAGTTTGAAGTGGTAGATCTGCCTTATAATGTCTGAATAAGAATTTGACTTAAGGGACTCGACGAGTCGGCTAGGGTTTTCCCCGATGAGTCTGGGCATGGGTAACTTGGCGAGTTGACGGGAGAAATCGATGAGTTGAGTTGGATTTTCGCGATGTTATGAAAGAATAAGGGGGACTCAGCGAGTCACATAGATGCGCTCGGCGAGTCAGGTCAACATGGACAGTTGACTCGGGTGTTAACTTCTGTTGACTTTAGGGTTTAATCAAGGGAGTATGGGGGACCATGGAGAGGTAAAATGATCTTTTACCCATTCCAAGAGTTTGAGAGAGAGAGAGAGAGAGAGAATAACCTAGAGAATTTTGAGTCGTGACTTAAATGTTAATTAGAGATTATTATTTTATGTGCTAGGCGGAGGCTAGTTTGAGATTTGTGTACGAGATTATTACTTGCTAGCTTATGAGGTGAGTCTTCTCACTATACTTTACCTAGAGTGGTAATCTTTGTGTGACCGGAGGGTCTTATGTGTTATATTGAGTATTGTGATATCCTGCATTATGTCTTTGTGATCTGTTATGTGTATTATTTTGAGCTTACCAAGTTAGGATCGCAGGGTCCACCCGTATTGTGGGACCGGAGGGTCCCACTGAGACACATTGATCGGAGGGTCTTATTTGAACATACCCATGAGAGGATAATGAGATATGTGTGGTATTTTGGAGAACCCACTAAGCTTCGTGCTTACCGTGTTATGTGTTATGTGTTTCAGGTACCTCTCAGAATCACGGGAAGGCATCAGCTTGATTGTACACACATATGCGAGATTATGTGGATGATTCTCGGATAGTGACATTTTATGTGGATTTGTGTTGACACTTGAGACAATTATGTTTTTGAGATATATTATGAGTTTTTATGTGTTTTAAAAATGAAAATTTTGGTTTGAAAATTTACGTTGTTACAAAAGAAAATAAGAAGAATCCATGGTCATTTGAAGAATTGATCATGTATTTATGACACTACAAAAAGCAAGAGACCTAACCTGTCTACGAAGATCTGCATCCCGAAGCTTAGCTTCAATTTCTTCAACACTAGAAGGAGATGCCTTTGTTTTGGTTAGTCTTCGGTGAAGCCTAGACGGTAAAGTTGGTGGCGATGATAACCCTGCACCGTCGACAACCGGAAACTCCATCACAACTCCGACGATATCCAATGGAAAATTGAATTATTTCTGGTGGAAAAGAGGAGCATGGGTATCGATGATTGGAGGAAGTCGTCGTACTCTTTGGGGTTAGGGATGTTGGTTTTATAGGGTTTAACTAATTAAGGAGAGATTACTTAAATTATTATTTTTACCAGAATTAGCCTGATCCACAAGTAATTGAATGTGCACTATAGGTAGCAACTGCACCGAGCCAATCACAATGGCAGGAGTACAAGCAATGATGTAGAGGATGTTGGATTATCTTATGGAAGAGACAAGGTGTCTACTTCAACATAATGTATGAGATCTGTCTGATCAAAATAGGAAGGGCTCGATCGGCGGGTCCTCCATGAAGAAGGTTATAAAATCCTCGCTCCATCCTGAAAGGCGGGCATTGCCTCTGGTGCCGGCTCCATCACTACTAGAAAAACAGCATTTTACGATGCTTATTGTGCGTCGTAAAAGGCTCAGACGACGCGAAAATGCGCGTCAATGAAGGCCCTGTCATAAAGAGAGACGACGCGCATTTATGACGCTCATTTACGATGTGCAATTACGACGCGCGTTTACGACACGCAATGCGTATCAAGGAAGGCCCTGTCATAAAGGAAGACGACACACATTCGCGTGTCATAACCTTACGACGCGCGTGTTAATGACACGCAATGCGTATCAAGAAAGCCCCTGTCAAGAAAGGCCATGTCATAAATGAAGATGACACACATTTTTGCGTATCATAATTTTAAATGTTTAAAAAAATATATTATTTTTATATTTACTTATTTTCAAATTAAATTTGTATTTAATGTTTCATAATAGAAAATAAAATATCATATACAAAAAATAGAATCCATTGCATAAATCTAATGTCATACAATTCTATTTCTTACAATATATAAATTTGAATCTAATCTACTATGTACATCAAATTCCAACTAAGTAAAGTTGCATCTTTCCTTTCATAATATTTTAAGACTAATGCTCCAAACAGTTGATTATATGGATAAGCAGTTGTACATTGGCCCATCTCACTCAATAATGACTTAGCCAAATTCAACTCCTAGTCTTTACTGCATTTTGCTGATAATGCTGCAAGATTTAAATCAAGTGGCTTCATTTTGCTGATTTTGTTCTTCAAGTATTTGTCATCAGTTAGAAATTTAGAATACAATTTCATATGTAAAGACTTCTATTCTGATGTACATTTAAGTTTTTATATTTGTAATATGGATTGTTATGAAAGTAATTTATTCCATCAAATAAGTAAGATAAACATAATTGACATAAAAGTCAATGATGGTGTCATTGACAAATGTGTCTGGTAGCAGCAAATCAATATCTCTCTTACTAATGGAAACAACATCAACATCCTCTTTTGGATATATAACTTCTTCAAAAGGCTGGTCAAAGCTGCAAGCATCCAATGAAATATAAAATCCAAGAATCAGATAAGAGCAAAACAGTCATATTTATTAATTTAACAAAAGGGCTGTTAATGTTAACACAAGGATCAAAATTCATATGAAACTTTTCCAAAAGAAATCTTTTTCAATTACTTGGGAAAATACTTTGTAAAAGGCTTCAGCTTCATCATAAGGTTGTTGTAGGAGATCATACACCAGTCTCTGAATAACCACTCTTTTCAAGGATGCATCAGCAGGTGGAAACCAATCCGCATTTAGTTGAGTCACATATTCACAAACAACAGCTCACTTATATTATTAATTTTTACATAAATGGTCCCTATCCTTACAAAGTGGACACTTTTTGTGATTTTAAATGGATTAAAATCAATCGGGGCTTGCTCCAAGAAAATTTCTACATAATGGAGCAAGAATAAACCACAGTCGAATGAATTCGGCTGCTGTGGTAACTGCAAAAACAACACAAAATTCAGATTTTAGAATTTAATACAAATTCACAATTTTGCCCTCGTATATTTTTCCTTTCCATTTCTCAAATACTTTTGAAACATTATTTATACAGATGATACCTCAAGTGAAATAAAGCGTAGATTATCGAATCTTGATGATATATCTTCAGATGCCTCCTGCTGCCTCCCTTTCCACTCTTCTTTTAGATAGCTAGAATGTCATATTTAAAGGTTTATAATTTAAAAATAAAATAAAATGTTTATATAATAAAAATAATGTTACCTTTACATAAGGCCTTTCAAGCCAGTATGACTACCTCTGATAGGATCCATATGCAGAACACATGGCACTTTAATCAACTCAGTTACATCTTCTTCATCTATAAACCAGATTATAACATTAGAAAAAAGGGATAACCATGCCTCATAAAATACTTGAAGATGTCAAATAGAAATGACAGATATACCCTTGTATTTCGTAACTTCCCCAAGATGACACATCACAATAAGACTCCAATGATAGCTGTCAAACAACAGAAATAATTGTCAACTGTTCAAATGAAATGTCTAGAAAGCAAACTGTTTTCCAACTTAGTTGTAATTTACAGGAATAAAGAGAAAATCTTTCTCAAAAAGATAAACTTTTCGTGTCCACTTTCTTACGCATTGAAAAGTTGTTTTCCCTTCAAGGGCATCTAGAGGTTCTTTTTCTGTCTCTCTTCAGGCCTGATTTTGTTCTTCAAGTATCTGTCATTAGTTAGAAAGTTAGAATACAATTTCATATGTAAAGACTTCTAGTCTGATGTACATTTAAGTTTTTATATTTGTAATATGGATTGTTATGAAAGTAATTTATTCCATCAAATAAGTAAGATAAACATACTTGACATAAAAGTCAATGATGGTGTCATTGACAAATGTGTCTGGTAGCAGCAAATCAACATCTCTCTTACTAATGGAAACAACATCAACATCCCCTTTTGGATATATAACTTCTTCAAAAGGCTGGTCAAAGCTGCAAGCATCCAATGAAATATAAAATCCAAGAATCGGATAAGGGTAAAATAGTCATATTTATTAATTTAACAAAAGGGCTGTTAAAGTTAACACAAGGATCAAAATTCATATGAAACTTTGCGAAAAGAAATCTTTTTGCACTTACTTGGGAAAATACTTTGTAAAAGGTGCTTTGATTTGTCCAAGAACAGTGTCCCTGCAACAATAATCCCATATGAATATACCAAGTTACTTAATTAAGATTCAAATAAATGATTGATTTAATGAAATAAAGATCAAGATTGATGATAATTCGAAGGATAAAAACCGAAAATGCAAAGATGTTGCCAAAAAACTCACTCTAACTCAAGCATACTGGTCCGTAAAGTTTTGTATGCAACATTTAAAGTTGTGATTGCTTCTTGTTTCCCAAACCAGTTAGTCCCCATGATTGCAAACTTCATATCAGCACCTGAATTACATAAAATAGATGTATAATTATTCTTTAATTGAAAAATGGATAGGTAAAACAATATGAGAACATTTTCACACAAAAAAATGATTATCTAACCTGAAGTGCATTCGACATTTTCAGGCTGTACTGTATCTTCAGTAAGTACATGAATGGTCACCATTGCTATCTCAACCTGCATAAAATTCAAGGTACAATAATTCCAAACCCTAAAGAATAAGGAGATACATAATGTTAAAAGCTCATTGTGGGCTTACCAGCTCATACCAATGAGATTTGATATGAACTAAATCCTGAACATCCCACTGTAATTTCAATATTTTGTCATCTCCATCTAGAGTTGAACCTGAACCCTCTATTTTGATGCAACTGCTGGTGAAAGTTAAAACACAATCTGTACAATAACTATCACCATACACCATATGATCAGGATAGAAGAGGACTGCTAAATCTTCGGTGTCCTGTAATCATTAAAAAAGATTACTAAAAGTGCAAGAGAATCCACAATTGAAACATCAGTCAATAGAGTGCTCACCATTTCCAACGCATCTGTGCAATGATCTGAAGGTGATCCGAAGAAAACACCTGACAGAGAAGAATTTTAACAATTCAATGAATAAATCAAGGTTCATTAAACAAGTAACATATGGACCCAAAAGATTGCCATGGTTGAAGATACTTTCAAGTCAAAAGATACAACAATTACCATCATCTTCAGCAATACCACAAGAAGTTGACTGCTACCAACTCACTTACAACTTACAACTTAGAAGATACTATCGTTGTCTTGTCCCTCTTCTTCTTTTTTCTTCTCATCTGGTTATCTTTTTTCCAATAAGTTAAGAGAGAGGCAATCATACTTTATTATAGTCTGTCTATGAGATTAATATGTTTTTTAGATAAAATGAAAACTTAATGAACAAGAAAGCTAACTACTACCAACTCACTTACAACTTAGAAGAAGAAATCAATACTCAAGAAGGAACAGATAACAAAACTTACTCGAAGAATTGATTAAACACTCAAATCAACAAAGCTAAACCCCTAATGATTTGCTAGAGATTCACCCAAAGGTTCCAAGACCAGAACTAGAACTTGACAAAATATAACACTCCTTCCATCTACTACTCCTTTATATGCATTTTAAAGAAGATACCTAAAATGCCCCTCCATTAATAAGATGTTATTTATTTTCCCGTACTACCCTTTTTTATAATTGGATGTGTAGCAGTAATTAGCACATTTATCTATCCAATGTCTGGCCCAATCAGACTTTAGACATCTATTTAGTGCTTATTGAAAAAAAAAATATGCCTTAGGGTGAATATTAAGTGTTCTGGATATGAGGAGGAATTCTAAGGTTACTTATATACAAGGGAAGAAGGTTGTTGTTCAAATCAAAGTTACAACAATTGAGAAACGGTACCAGCTTATTGTTCAAATCAAAGGGATTATTGGCAGGATACAAGTCCTTACAACTGGATTCTTAGTTCCAAATCCCAATTGCACAAGAACAAAGGTATCAGATTCATCAGAAAGCTAAAAATTGGGTATCGTATCTTCGTGAATGGAAAACAAAATGCGCAGACAGACAGCTGAAAAACCCTAATCGCACTAAGTAGCTTGATTCTGTAACTAATCGCATCGAGAGTGTTTATACTAAGACAATACTCAATAACAAACTAAACCCTAGCTTTCCTTTATTACAGAAACAAATCAACAACAGAACTAAAACTGGATGTAAGCTCATGATGTAGCGAAGCGTACCTTTAGTACTTGAAGATTTATGCGATTTGTGCTTCCTATCGGAGTCTCTCTCTTTCTTATCACTCTTTGTTTCTGAACTTCTACGCCTTTTGTTCTTCCCTTCGTCTACATAACACGAGTATCCTCATCAATTCGTATTGAAAATTGTATAAACAGAGAAATATTGGTAACAAAGAGAAAGAACAAAAACCTTCTGACAAGGACTCAGTCGGAGACCTCTTCTTTTTCGACTTACGATCGCTACCCATTTCGTTCTTGTCTAAAATCAAATAGTTGTGAAGTGTTCTTTTGTCAAGGCTTGAACTCCAGCACCTGCATGAATTATGGCATGCGATTGAAAACCAGTCTCGACGACCCGCTGACCTCTGCCCATGGAATTGAAGGGGTGAGAGAAAAAGAAATTGGGACCAAAAAAAGAAAACAAAATTTTGACTTATTCATCTTCATTTATTATCATATTGATGGGAGGAGAGGATTGCAATTACAGAAATCTAAACATGGAATAGCATATACCTAATTAGAATCACCCCCTCGACAAAAAGAAAAAAAAGGCGATGAGGGCATTAGATGGAGTGTCGACATGGGTAAATGTTGATTCAAGCCCTAGAAATCGCTCCAAAGGGGTCGATAATGGGAGGGGAAATGATTTTTAATGTAAGATGGAGGACTAAAATATGTTCGATTGCTTCGATTTAGGCGTGAGATGCTGTAATTTCCCCTGTGTTCGTGTTCAGCTCCACTGCCCTGGGCTAAAAAAATTAATATATGATTAATTTTGGTCCAATTAAACTATAGCAACCGAAGCAAGAAGATATGGTATCTATGACTAGGGTTTGTAGAGAGAAGGGAAGAAGATAATAAAGGGAGATCTTGAAGAGGGGTATTTAAAATTTTTAGAATTTTAAGAGGATTTGATTTCCCCCTTGAACGCGGGTTTTGAGTGAAAAATTATAAAGCGACACTCACAGTGGACGCACACTTTAAATAAGCGCCCTCCGTGTTTGTATTTTTTTTTTTTTGTGGGGCAATAATTTTAGGGCACGCAAAAAATGTGCGTCCTACATTCTTCAAATTTCTAAAGATCTGACATTATTTGTAGGGCACACCCTTTTGCGTATCATTAATCAGTGTGTGTCATAAAAAGCGTGTCATTAAAGGTTTGTTTTCTAGTAGTGTATCTCTCAAGGTCATATGCCTAGGGGTGTAGGGTCATTATAGCCCCATCAATGTGCTTGTGCTCTAGCCATGTAGGGAGGATCGATGACTTCGGACTCTGCGTCTGAATCATTCTCCTCCTCCTCCTCGTCAACCTCCTCATCGATCACCTCTTCCTCAAACTCCTCCTTGACCTCTTCTGGATCCTCTTCTGGATCCTCCTCTATCCATCCCCCGTTCCCTTGGTTAGAGGGTTAAGGATCTCCTGTGTGGTGAAAACCTATCACGACATCTGTACGAGAATGTAAGCACGAGAAAATAGATAAAATGCCAAAATACCCCTATAGTATTTTATTTCTTTTAGTTTTGTTCTTAGACCCTTTTGGTTTAAAATTGGTAAGTTTTAGATTTGTTGTCCATCTTGATCACTCCTAAACACATGTTGGTCGTATCTCGAATAATATAGTTGACCAGGCTATATTTACCCTAGATATGATTACATAATTGTCTAAGTTTAGTCGCGATGTCCAACTCCTCTAAAGGCTTTTTCTTTGTTTCTTATTAGGACTCTACTATTATTGTGCTCACATGTAGGTATACTTTTATAAAAATACTCATATTTTGTTAGTATACTTTTCTTCAGAGTGTTTTAGTCCTATTGTATTTATAGTTGTATATCATGTATGGTTAGATATACTAGTTCACTATAGACAATGATCTGATACCAATCTGTCGCACCCCCGAACCAAAACGGTGGAAACATCTGGGGGCAGATGATGACATTGTATAGTATCATAACAGTTTAATATAAATGAAACATTACAACCCAAGAGACATACATTGAGAATACAAACTTACATAGTTTACATATTGTACTTGTTCATGAGTAACACGAAAGTGACAAAAAGTAAAATTTCATAATGCTGCATCACTTGATCTCAAAACCGATTTGATTACCTGTTATTGTTTCTCTGAGAATACAAGTCAATTTGAAACGCATCAACTAAAAAGTTGGTGAGTTCATAAGCATTTTTGTGTAAAAATGGATTTGTAACTGTTTAAAATGGTTTTCGTATACTTTTATAAAATCCGATATTTTCTATATACTGTGTTGTTAGTCTTATATCCAAAACTTAGAAAAATTTGTGTATGACTATTGTATCTTTCTTTGTAAAATGATAGTGTATGTATGTTCCACGAAAATCCAATATTTTATTATAAGTAAACTGTAGTCTTAAACCCTAAGACTAGATGTGTAAGCGATTGTGTACTGAAAAATGATATGTAGTTTTATATTTTAATATAATAGGTGAAGTGTAAGCTTCCCGTAAACCAAGATAGTATTGTTAATCCCTATGTGAGTTATTATAACCATGCTAATGTGATAGTTATGCATGTATGACATTCTTCAGGCATCGGAATTGGTAAGATATTTGTTACCCTATACTGGCCCGTCTAGCTGTAGCGAACAGCTCAGGTGTGGGGGTGTCAATCCTCGTATAGATACACTTATATACAACATCATTATATCAAAGTTAAACATTGTAAATACACTTATATACAAGATCCCTTAGACTTGGTTCAACCCCAAAAAAAAATCCAATTGTGACATAATCCTTATCATTAGGCTTCTTAGATTCTCTGTGACTCTCCACGGGTCGAGTATGGATCATGTGCTTTTAGTAGTAAGGGCCCAATACTACCTTCCACACCTATCCATACTTTCCTCAAGAAGTATCCTGAATCCTCCAAGTCACCTTATCAAACTGATATTCCAAATATATCCTAAACAGTGCAGCCAACTCACTACAACACATCCTAGGCTCTCCTCGATTGCCAACCTCACCCTACCATTTGCCACTGAAGAACTCCCAATAATGTCAATTAGATGCTTCATGAATACAATCACATACACAAAGCTTATATAATCCTTCGAGTAAAAGACTCATCCCTACAACGGTTAGACTCAAACGAGAGCTGCATGGTTGGGTCAAACCCGTCACTCTTAGATTATTTAACCTATGCAACATGTGAGTTAACGCATTCACTAATAGTTAACTCACATCATCAATAGTCCCACAAAGCACAAAGCAAGCAACATTCGTGCAGTAACACTCCAAGCCACAACCAAATAGAGGACATCTCAAGCTCACTTCCTTCCAAGAAAGGTTCCAAATCTAGTATAACATCCAATTCCACTTAGGTTACAAGGCATCGCATATCAGGCCAGTCCATCTAATCATCTGAAATTCATACTAGCAAGAAATTCTAAAAGCTCAAACAATTAGGCATATAAAGGCATCTCTCCTAGTCACAAAATTCTGAGCAGATCCTTAGCCCTAATCTACCATGCAATTCTCATAACATATAACATAACAACATGTATGGGTATTCTGGGAATCACTAACTTGAGCTCGGATAATTGCACGCTCCAACCCCCTTTTCTTTTATTAGAAAATCCCTTAATAAAACTTTTATTTTATAAAAATCTACCACACCCTCAGTTTAAGTTCAGACACACCCAAGAGTATTCCCGAAGCCTTCAAACCAAGGCTCTGATACCAACTTGTAACGTCCCAAATTGATGACCCAAAAATTTATTTTTTTCATAGTAATAAAACCACCAACCAAAAATGTCATAAAAGTACAAGAAAATCAAAGTAATTCAAACAATCATCTTAATACATCAGAATCATATAAAGCAGAAATCATGGTGTGTGTACGATGCGATCACCTCAAGATCTTCCCTTCCGATCAGGATGTACCTGAAACGTAAAGTGAAAAACATAATCACAAAGCTTAATGAGTTCCCAAAAATGCATCATACCATACGTACCAAACATACAATGGGCCATGCCCCCGAAACCATCGGTCCCCGCCCGGAACAGATCTGTCAGTAACATCCGATGGGCCCCACCCAACACACACATCAGGCCCCTGCCGGGCATCGGTCCCCGTCTGATATACATACACACATATCCAAGGCATGAAAGAGTGACAAAGATAACTATCATACTATAACATAATCCAATGGGCTGACATTAGTGTCTTTAACCCGCAAGTATAGTGACAACTATTATACTATAACATACTTATCAATCCCCGCCTGGCATCGGACCCTGTTTGGAATACATAACACATATCACACATGTAAGGGTCACACAGACAGCTAGCAAGCCAATAACCACAAATCATAGGTTGGCATTGATGCCTTGGACCTGCTAAGCAATAGGAGGAGACTCACCTCAAACTGCTAAAACAACCAGATACATGCTCGAATTGTTGATCCAAGAAACCTCTGCATTAAATATCATCAAATATATCCTAATTAATAATCAGGTAATAAACCATAACCAGTCCCCATGCAATGACACCTAAAAGCCTAAAATGGCCCAAATTCCTAAATGGTGCCCAAAGCCCATTATGGGCCAAAATCCAAGAAGGTCCAAGGCCTAATTTAACGACCCAATTTTCACGACCAAAAATTTCATTTTGGTTAAGTGATTTGCACAAAATTTGTATCAAAATATCAACCAGTCATATCATTTAATAAAAGCATGTCTCGTATCTGAAAACCAAATCATAAAAACATAATAATGTCAGAGTACAATTCCTAGAATAACTCATAGTGCGGAAAACAAAGAGTGTGTGTATGATGTGCTGCTACCGCGCCAGCTCCTTCCCCTTCGCTGAAGAGGTACCTGAAACCAAAATTGTAAACTGTAAGCACGAAGCTTAGTGAGTTCCCCCATCGTACCAAGAACCATGCAATCACATAGCATACATACTGCCGGGCAATTCTGGGGTACCCGACCTACCCGGTACGGCCATTCTGGGGTGCCAACCTACCCATGCGGCCATTCTGGGGTGCCGTCCTACCCAAGCGGCCATTCTGGGGTGCCGTCCTACCCATGTCAAGCCATTCTGGGGTGCTGACCTACCCGTCGGTCCTAACAACCGACCCTCGGGGACTATGCCACCCCTTAATGCTACTATCACATATATCATAACATAAACATACTATCAGACATATCTGGGGTGCCCGAACTACCCTTCGGTCCTAACAACCGAACTTGGGGACTATTCCCCTCAT